GAATAATATGCCCCTAGATTTTGCTGCCTTTTGGAGATAGGCTCTTTACTGTATAAACATAAGATTTATTTTTTATTTATTTTGTAGAGCAGGGTAGCAACCAAAAATGTGATTAGATTTAGGTTTTGGAATGGTTAAATTTAAATATTAAAAGACTAATCTGATAGGCAGGCACGTAGCCACGCGGGGGGGGGGGGGCACGTGCCCCCCCCCCCCTAAATTTCCAAGATCGGTTGAACTTTTTTAGACCCCTATTTTTTACCTCGATCGATTACATGTATGTGCCCCAAAAAATATCAAGCTCTGGCTACGTGCGTGCTGATAGGGCTTTGCTTCATATTATTTAGTGTCATTGGGGGAGAGAATTTCATGTTGCCCCAATTCTTTGATTGATAGAAGTATCTGCTCCCATGCTTGTGGTGCCTATATTGTAGAAGAGGGGTTACAATATAATAAACACCGGGTCTATTAATATTCAATGCAAAGGAATGTATTAAAAGGAATTACATATAATTTTCCCTTTATGTTATGCGAGGCCTCCCCCCCCCCCATACTTGAATTATTGCATCAGCCCCCTCTACCCCACCCCCTCCCCGCCTCCGGTGCCTATGGTACCTTAAATAAAACCACGTTTACCTTAAGCCGTAACTCCTGCTCGAAGTCAGCCTGATTCTTGATTTTGTGATTTTGATGACCAACGATCACGCACTTGAAACAGACGTGGACCTTACAATCCTCACAAAACATATCTTTGTTCTCCTGTTTGTGGATGCAGCACTTCTCGGATAGATGACCAATGCTGACCTTCCCGCTGATGATATCTTGTATGGATACAATCTCGTGAGCCTCAAACGTTAAAGACATATTCTGATGACCCGTCAGACACTGCTCACACAAATAACCGTTGCAGGTTGTGCAGAATGACACAGCCACTTCTTGACGTTTGCAAGCAGTGCATTTTGGACGCATCTCAAGGATAGCATTCATCCCTCCACATTTCGCGTGGTAATCGTCTACGAGTCCGTTGACAGTCACATTGGCGAGGAAATCATCGACACGGTTCGCAGACAACTTGGTGACCTCTCTGCAGAGAGGACAGATCATGTGATCGAGATCCTGATGGGATAGGTCATAGTTCTTGAGACACTTCCGACAGAAGGTGTGTCCGCATGAAGTCAGGATGGTTGCTTCGTCGAAGATATCAAGACATAGTGGACACGTCAGGTTCTCTGGAGAGCTTGTAGGTTTCTCTTTCTCAGTCTTCTCAGCCATTGGTACGAATATAGGATTCGGGGCTTATTACAAAAATGAGCTCATTCTACGCATAATATATCCAATGTCCAATTGAGCTTAAAAGTGTGATCAGCTAATGTGTACATAATATCAACAGTCGGTTCATAAAAGCACAAACTATATGCAGTGATGTAGTAGATTGTACCAATATCCCGAGTCTACGTAACAAGTGCGTCCTAACTGCATGCAGTTCTATACCAATTTTTCACGTTGATCCCAAATTTGTGTCGAAAGAGGTGCGAATAACGTTGATCAAAAGTACTGAGTCTCTATTCAAGTGTATACATCAATGCAAATCTGATTGCAATGCTATATACGCTCACACTTATTATTAAGTAGATCGTCTGTGAAAACAATGCAGTTTGTGCGTCTTATGAATAGAAGTGGGTTTTCCCACAGAGAGCGCGTCCAGCGTATTCACCTTTGTACTTAAATGGCGGTATTCATCATTTTGATCTATAGAGGGCGACTTGTTTAGTTTTTAGTAGTGGATACATTGTGTTGGAGATTCACTTTATTAGAATCCTAGGTTTTATTTGCTGTTATCACTTTGTTTGGAAGGGTAAAGGACGTTAAACCACACTTACATTGCACCCCTTCTTTATCCACTATTCTTCCTTTATCTTCTTCCATCAGTCTCTCATTCTTTTCTCTTTTCACTGTCAAAATTTATCTAAACGGTTGGAATCCTACGAGGCGATATTACAATGCACGATTTGCCTGAAAAATATAATTCTCCACTTTCTCTCGTGAAAATTGTATACAAAATCTTATAGATTAGGTTTCTAACCATGATAATGTGAATCATGTCTGTCTCAAAGAGCTGATATTAAGAAAAGTGATATCAAATAGAATATGTAGGCCATATTGCACTGAAATATTAGTCTTCCGTGTTCAAAAGGCATTCGACGTATCCAAGGAAACATCGTTGAAGAGAGTTAAATTACCTGTTTAAAACAATTTTTTACGAATGGTGATTAGCAGACGACAGATACTGCCCCAGTACCATGTGTCCATGTGTTCAATAAACGTGAACTAATCAAAATGTCCTCGATTATGTCAAATAAGTTGCCATATTTTTGTAATATTGATTTTTGCGTGGATATCTCTTGTTTGCCTTAGAATAAAAATGGCAGAGAAGTGGATGTGGTAATAACTATCGCATTCTGGTGTATATACAAAATGTTAGTCTTCCAGAACTTTTAAGTATGATTTTAATGAAAAGCATTTCACAGTAAGGCACGTATTTAAAAGAGAAAAAAAAACACAGACTACACGTAAATCAGGAGCTAAAAAAGCCAGACAAGAGATTCCCAGAGAAATTGTTAAAAACACCTTAAATGGTTAGTAGCAAAATATTGTATAGGAAGTAAAATATGTGTTTTGTATTGATAACATATTGATAACGTAGTGCTTAATTTTATTGCTTCTCATAACTTTATTTTGATGCTCGAATGAAAATTAGACATCTCAACTGAGGCACACACATACACAATCATTCTCTTTCCAAGAGTGAACTTGGATACCAATGTGGTTACCATGATAAAATCACACTTGAGTATTAGGATGATTATCAATTTCACGCAGTTTGTGCATCCTCTGAATATAAATGGGTTTTCCCACAGAGCGTATAAACATGCACCTTTCAATTCAAAGTTTTCAATTCAAAGTTTATTCAACAATCTTCATAAAAACATTTAAAACATACAAATACAGAATGGAGCTATACAAAAACAAGAAAGTGATAACAAATACAATGACAATTTATAAGAGCAGTAATTACATTATTTGAACTTAGTGGTGGTGTTCATTTCAGTTTTTGAATCTTATTTAGTCTTTCAGTGGTGTAAATATAATGTTGGAGTTCCACTTTAATTGGTAGAATCCTGGATAAAAGAGCAAGACGTTTTATTTGTTTTCATTACTTTAATTTTCATCCCCTCTTTCTCCTCTGTTATTCCCTTATTTCTTTTCATTTCTTTCATTCTCTTCCTCTTTCTCTGTCATCAATTAAATGACTCTTCCAGTGTCAATCAACAATACCGTGTGCATACTACGAAATAATGTATATGTAATTATAGGCTTTTATGTTTATAGCGTATACATTTATTTTATTACAATCTAATTTTCTTTTAGAAAAACAAGAGGAAAATAATAAAAAATGAACTTTGAGACATGAGTGTAAGGTAATTTACAAAACTATCTACAAAACAGTATAAAGACCATGTGTGTGTATCGAAATAGTCGCGCCATTTTACCCATTAGAATTGACTTCTTTTTCGCCAAAAACATAAAGTAACTACAATTTCCAACGCGATGCGGTTATCAGAACCTCCCCCTAAATGTTTTATTTTGTTTAAACCGAATATATTTTGTTTAAAGAACGATATAGAAAGAAGACGTTTGTCCCCAAACTAGGTCGCTTATGCACACAAGCAATTTCTTCTACGGAATCTTCTTACAAACATATCAACTGGTATGTCATTTTTTAACGATGTGGAAACAGTGAATTGATGTTTTCTCCAGATCCATCCCTGGGTTTGCCATTCATGTCTACTAGCATGACCATAGATAGATGTAAATATCCTCATCATTTCTACAATTTGTATATGATAAACATAATCCTATCTTACCCCGTTTTCTCTCTACCGTTATAAAACGCAGATGAAGATATTCCAAATTCCACGTTAATTGAATTGAATCGAAGGGGTGACTATTACGAAAAAGACAACTGCCGAATTTACATTATTATTATTATTATTATTATTATTATAATTTATTTGACCAATCAGAAAACATACAGTGATTATAACAGTTATATAATATATAGAGATTTCATAATACATGCAAACAGTTTAAGGAAAGTGGAGAAGAGAGAGAGAAGGATATAAGCTGCTGGTCAGGGGTGACAAAAGCATGTCACCCCCACATGAAATGTATTCAAAGTGAAATGACTAATTATAACAGAGCTGCAGTAAACGTTTAAATAATGTATCATAATTTGATTATTACTTAGAATGCTTACTCAAGAAACGGAACTTCCGACTGTTAAACGAGGCCTATTTTTTGTTAATACATTGTTCTTCTCTACATCATAGAAAACTAATCTTTCACTTTTCTATGGAATGTAGCACCATGGTCCAGAAAAGTTTATAACGGATTTGATGTATTAATTAGGTTCAATATAACATACGCAGAGTAAAAAGAAACAAATTTACAATGGGTCCTATTTACAAAGTCAGCATTAATCATAACTATATTTGAAGATACAAAATAGACAAAATATAAATTAAAAAAATATAAGCACAAACAAAATAGACTTTTAAATACTTGAGAATATCATCAAAAGGAAAAAAACACTGACATAAGTTAATCAATTTTGAAGTTATACATTATGATATCATATTACTGACTTTAAGAAAATAAGTAAGAGATACGATTACAAAATGCAAGAAGTGCAAGAATGCAAGAAGAAATATGATTTTACATATTATTTCGAGAGAGGGAAGTTATCATTATATAGGATAATTGCAACTGTCTTCAGGTGATCAAAATCTATCTAGAGAATGGGCATCTTCTCATTTGATTTGGTTATTTATGACATAATTATTAACAAATAAATATGAAACATAGGCCCATATTAGAGTAGATTTGGGACAGAGAGGTATACACACTACACATAGTGGTAATACAGAGTGTGAGATGGATTACAGTGATACTTTGATAAAATACAACTTCTTGTCACAAGCAAACGCGAGCATATCTGGTGAGAGGGAAACCAAGTAACACCAATCAGAACCAATCGTCATAGTAAGTGCATTGAACTCAACTCTCTCCTTCAGGTCCAGACCATCAAGGTCATAGAGCCTGATCACCACGTTACCATTCTTACCATCAACACTCGCTACATACACCCTGTCCTGCTCATCCAGGGCAGCATACAGGTGGACACCGCTTGGAGCTTGTAGAGACTTACCAGCATTCCAACCCCTGTCATAGACCGCCACCACGCTTGGATTGGTGTAACAACATGAACTCGTGACGATCAAACCCCACCTGGTGGCAGATATCTGCCTCGTCTCGTTGTGTGTTGTTTGAACAGTGTGTTTGAGAGGGGATCCAGTCTGGTCAAAGATATAGACTTTCTTCTTACTGTTAGCAATGAGGATTTCATCTGATGGACTTTTGTTAAGTTTGAGATAATTATAGCCATAACTTTTCACTTGGATGGTTGATTTCTTGGAGCCATTGGGCGAATATACGTGTGCTTCTGTGCTACCCGTCGATATACATAATGACCTGTCTTGCTGAAACACAAGATCATAACATTTCATGCTACTTGGTATGTTTGCATACTGGTGCTTTTTACCAGCTGAATTAATTATATCTATACCATGTGTATCACTAAATCCGATAGCCACACTATCATCAGAGTATTGGGTCATTCCAGACATGGATCCCCGTAGATCTACACACTGAATGACTTGCAACATCGGATCTGATTCTGAGATGCTCCCGAGGTCAAGACGAGTATCAATTGCAGGCTTGAACCTCTTCTCCTGTGCTTTCGTCGTAATGAGTGCCGCAGAAGTGTGATCAGTAGCCTCCTTCAGCATGGCATCCAGCTCCTCACAGAGCAAATAATGAGCAGACAGACTGTCTGTCTCAAGACGACCCAGACTGTCATTAGCTACCAGTGTTAATGAACTACAAATACTCTTGATCCTCTGTCGATCCTTGGTTTTCAAGACGTTGAGGTCGTCCTCGAAACTCCGCTTTACTGCATTGATTTGCTCGATGAGAATTCGATGATTTTCTTCAAGCTTTTTAGCCTTGATGCTGTAGGCTTGACTGACATTGTCCAATAGTTTCTGCACGGCAGTGTAAACTTCATGGCGTTGTACTTCCACATTCTGAATGTTCTTCTCCAGTTCTGATTTCTTAGTGGCACATCGCTGGACAAGGTCGTTCACCTTAACAGAACAAATAATAGAGAATTGAAAAGAACATTTTGCAGAATGAGATGTATGCCAATTACATGGAGCTGGTTTGATAATCAAACACCGGAGTTTGGAGGCGCCTCATTTTTCACAAAATGTAGAACCAAGACCCCCCCCCCCCCCCCCCCCCCCCCCCCCTCCTCCTCCTCCTCCGCAACAAACACCTTTTCTCCTTTCGCAAAAACGTTTCTTGAAAATTACAAAGAATAATGTATTTAAGTTTCAATTACAAAAAAAAAGAAGTACATGTATATTGTATTCCTCTAATTGTTTTATATGTTTTAATGCGAAGAAGCAGATTTAAGATATTCCAAGTTATTATTTCCATAAGACGTCATTATAAAAGAGTTTATTTAATACTAAGAATGATATATAACTCGATAGAAAGTTTACTATAAAGTTAGTGAGTGTAGTGACCCGGCTAAACAAAATTGCTTCTGTGAAATTGAAATGTGTAATCAAGTAAAGTTTGAAAAATATCGAAAAATCCCAGCCTACTTCAAAATAATGATTTGCATATATGTGAGCATGTGCGAGCAGAAAGAGCTTCATGTCTTCTCAGAGGGGTGGCAACATTGTTGTCTCACCCCTAGAGAGAAGCTTTGAACTTCGTACCTTACCCGTGTTAAGCGCATATGCAGTAGACAGGGTGTTTGTTCAATGATAAGAAAAGATAAGGTCTAGCGACTGAGAGGAAACAGATAGCGTTTTGGAAATTTGAAACCATATTTCAGAGCACTTAAAAGCTTTTCTAGTCTGCTATAATATCAAGTACAATCGTGCTATAATATTGCTAGCCGGGCGGGGCCTTTGCCCAGAGGCCACCCTCCTGGGAGGCAGGGGGGCAAAGTGCCCCCCTCTTTTTCAAGCACCCGAAAAATGCCCCTTTTTACATAGGAATAGTGCCCCTTTTACTCTGACAAGTGCCTCTATTCCTTCGAAAACTTATCTTTTTCCTTTGCAATAAGTGTCCATTTTCCATTCTCAGAAGTGCCCTTTTTAATCTCTAGTAAGTGCCCCTTTTCAGGTACGAGAAGTGCCTCTTTTAACTTTTGATTAGTGTCCCCTTCAGGTGAGTCTGATTATTGCCCTTTTCAATTCTGAGAGGTGCCTCTTTTACTTTGACGAGTGCTCCTTTTCCTTTGTAATAAGTGCCCCTTCCCCTCTTGATAACTACCCCCATTTTAACTCGGATAAGCGCACCATATATTTTCACATGTGCTTCTTTTCCTTTCTAAAAGTGTCCCTTTTCCTAATGACTAGTGCCCCATTAAAAAAGAGCCCCTTCCCCTTCTGATAAGTGCCCTTTTTTTGGTAAATGACCATTTTCAGGTACGAGAAGTTACTCCTTTTCACTTCAGACAAGTGCCCCCTTAACCTCCGATAAATGCCCCTTTGAAATCTGATCGATGCCCATTTTCTTTCAACTAATTCACAACTTCTTTCACATTAAATGCGCCCCAATTTCAAGCAATTTCTCCCAAAGCTCGCTCGCTACGCCCGCACGCATCTATAGATGATATACTTATGTTACTTATCAAAGGTCTTTTCAGTCTTCCATCATGAGAATTTGCTAATAACCCCACCAGGACTGGGTTTTTCCCTCTTTATAAGATGTAATTTTTCGCACTGCGATCCCACAAATCTTAAAATTTGTCCTTGCCTGCTTCGCTCGCTCGCAAATAATTGTTCAGACCATCACACCCAACTGTATAAGGTGAAACAAATCTTGAAATCAACCCTGATAATCTAATCGCAATGTAGGGGTAATACCAATGTCTAAAAGATTATATATTTTCGCTTTGAGATTTCCCTTTGTACATGTAGGTGCCTTTTTTTCCAGAAAGTGCCCTTTTTCCTTGGTGCCCCCCCACCCACTTTGGAAGTCGTTCAGTCGCCCCCGCCTCTGCCTACTCCCCACAAGTTTTGTCTGGCAAGGGAGGCAGAAAAAAAATCAAATCCTCCTTTATTTGTAAAGATATTTGGCCTTGTGAGGGGAGGGGCATGAACTATTTGGCTCCAATCCTGATAGAGGAAATAATATGCCCTAGCTTTTGCCGCCTCTTTGAGATTAGCATTTTACTGTATATATATATGATTCCACTTCTTTCTATATTTTGTAGAGCAGAACAAAAACTGAGTAGATTTAGGTTTTAGAATGGTAAAATTCTGAATTTTAGAGGACTAAATCTGCTGATAGGGCTTTGCTGCAAATTATTTGTTGTCATGGGTGGGGAGAATCTCATATTGCCCCAATTCTTTAATTGTATCTGCTCCCATGCTTTCGGTGCCTATATTGTAGAAGGGGGGGGGGGGTTACAAATTTAAGAAACACCGGGTCTATTAATATTCAATGTAAACGGATGTAAACAAATTACATATAATTTTCCCTTTTTGTTATGCGAGTCCTCCCCCCCCCCCCCCCCCCCACTTGTATTATAGTATCAGCCCCCTGTGCCCCAACCCCTTCCCGCTTCCAGCGCCTACGGTACCTTAAACGAAACCACGTTTACCTTAATGATGATGTCATGTATGGATACAATCTCGTGACCTTCATAGGCTCTAAGATGGTGATGACAATCCAGACACTTATCACAAATGTAGTTATTACATGTACAGCAGAATGAGACGGCATCTTTCTGAAGCTTACAAGCAGTGCATTTTGAACGCATCTCAAGGACCGCGTTCACTTCTCCACACATGACGTGGTAATTGTCTACAAGTCCGTTGACCGTCAGATTGGTAAGGAAATCATCGACACGGTTCGCAGACAACTTGGTGACCTCTCTGCACAGAGGACAGATCATGTGATCAAGATCATGATGGGACAAGTCATAGTTCCTGAGACATTTCCGGCAGAAGGTGTGTCCACATGAAGTCAAGATGGTTGCCTCGTCGAAAATATCAAGACATAGTGGACACGTCAGGTTCGCTGAAGAGCTTGGAGCTTTCTCTTCCTCGGTCTTCGCAGCCATTGGTACAATTAATATCTGATTTCTGGCTAATTACAAACACGAGTACGTGCTACGCCTATATCCAATTGATGTCCAATAAAACTTAAAAGTATGATCAGCTAATGTGTACTATAGAAGTAAATAAACAGTTTGTTCATGCAAGCAAAAAGTAGCAGATTTTACCATATCCCGAGACTACGCAACAAGTGCGTCCTAACTGCATGCAGTTCTGTACCAAGTTCGTACGTTGCTTAATATGTGTCGAAAGAGGTGCGCCTAGCTTTGATCAAAAGTATTAATTCTCCATTCAAATGTGTATCTGAATACAAGTAAGGTTATAATAGTCAAATTACACTTGAGTAGATCTTTTGTGAATACAATCCAGTTCCTGTATCCTATATAAATAGAAATGGGTTTTCCCACAGAGAGTATGCGCAGCGTATAAGCACCTTTGGACTTTATGGCGGTATTCATCGTTTTTATCTATACAGGTAGAGAGAGACTTTTTTAGGTTTTCAGTGGTGGATATGATATTATGTTGGAGATCCACTCTAGTAGAATCCCGGATAATGGAGCAATTTTTTTCTTTATTCCTATGTTTGAAGGGGTAAAGGGCGGTAATCACACTTATATTTCACCCCTTCTTTCTCCACTATTCTTCCTTTATCTCCTTCCATTTCTCGCATTCTCTTCCCTTTTCTCTGTCAAAATTTTCTCTCAAAATTGTTTGCGTATTAAATGCTACGAGGCTACACTTATTACAATGCAAAATTCGTCTGAAGCAAATATTTCACCACTTCCTCTTTTATACAAAATGCCATGACTTAGGCTATAACCTAGACGATGTAAATCATGTCCGTCTCAAGAGCTGATAACGAGACAAATTATATCATATCGATATTGAAATAGTAATGTAATACGAGTGGTCTAGTGGTTTAAGGCGCTTGACTAGAGATGCGAAGGTCGAGGGTTCGAATCCCGTCATAGCCTTTTGACAAGGCCTCGTGACTTTGGCTATTTTCCACCCAAATCAGCGGCAGAGGTGAATCTAGAAACCCAGGGTGAACGCGCGATCGAGTGGCGGTAGCCGCGAGGGCCTTTTGGACTCTGGCTCCTACTGCTCCGCATGAATTATTCATAACTTTGGATTTATTGACCAATCAGAACGGCCACCTCCCAGTTGGCTTCGTTCATGATTCGTGCATAAGGCCGACAATAAAAACTTGTTGTATTGCCCTTTGCGACCGACCCAAAAATCTGAAAATCTACGGTCGGCATTAAAAAAAAGGGAAATATACAGGGAAGGTCCAATTATCTCACTTATGATTGTTAACTTAGTTCATCAAATGCTCCCTATTTTACTGTAATTTTGCATGTAAAATAGATTTGAATGTGATATTTTGTATTTATCATTTATATGTTCATCTCATAAGCAAAACTTATTTACGTCTTTTACCTTTTCTTACATGTTTTGATAAATGTTTTGGAAAACAAGAGGAAAGATTTACATGGGAAAGAATATTCATTGGTCCATAGTGTACCGTGTATTTTTTATTTTGTTAATCGTGCGTTGCCAGGGGATTAGACCTCCCTGCATGGTCACTGGCCGGTGGTTTTCTCATAAATCAGCTCTCAATTAAGTTAAGAAAAAGGGGACCATGGGGGATTAACGGGCACCACCCGGGGCACCGCCGAGGCATTAGGGACTTTAAGATTTGAACGTCGACATAGTAGACTGCTACGTGTGACGTCCTGTCTTAAGAGGACGTCACACGTAGCAGTTCACTATGTCGACGTAAAAATCTAAAAGTCCAATTGTTGGCTATATAGAGGGCGCAAGTAGCTACAAGTAGTGCAGTCCCGCTTAAAGGTAGTATGTCCCAATTGTAGGCCAAACAAATGAAAAAGGTAAAAATCCAAGGGCATTTGAAAAATAATACCAATTTAGAACTTTCCTCGAAACAGAAGGGCTTGAGAATGTCTTTTTGTGTAAAAAATAACGACTGTTATTTGTCGAATTGAATTTGGCGAGCGCGCTCGTTTAATTAAATTGTCTGATTTCAGACCCTTGTATCGAATTGTCGTACGTTTTGAGCACTGCAAAGATTCAATCAGCTAAATACAAGAAGTGGGTTATTGATGTGGAAAAATTAATGCTCATGTGCCCTTTACAGCTCATTTCATGTATATTATTACCAAAGAAAAAAAAGCAGTCAGTCAGTCACCAAATAGAGTCTGACAGTGAAGTAAAGAAAGTAAACGGATTTCCTTGAATAATTTGAATGCTAGGACGCTGCTAACGTTTAAATTTCACAGATAGGACATACGTGATATATTCATAATTCCTGCAAAGTTCTACACAAATTGATGTTGGCTGCAAAAGGTGTACACTATCTGGCTCGTTCAGATATGACGCTGTGGGTTTATTTCACTTTTTTTCTTTCGATCATGTCTTTTTAAAATAAATAATGTGTAAATGAATGGTGATTTTGCACAACAAAGATCACCCACGTATAAGATGAAGACGATTCGTATTACACTTTTATGTCATCATGAATTACAACAACAAAGAATAAAATACCACGTCACAGCTCAAGGCCTTTTGAGGTACTTCTGAAAATACACTGTATCACACTTCATATCGTTTATAGGCAGGTCATGCTGTCCATACAGTGTGAGAAACCATGGCATGCTAAGAAACACGGCAAAAGATTTACAGCGTATGGACACCTTACTACGATCACATCTTGCTGTCCATACAATGTAAGATATCATGGCATACTGATAAACATGGTGAGAGATTTTAAAGCATATAAACGCCTTACTACGATGACATCGTGTTGTCCATACAGTGTGAGATACCATGGCATACTGATAAACATGGTGAGAGATTTTACAGCGTATAGACCCCTTATTACGATGACATCTTGTTGTCCATACAATGTGAGATATCACGGCATACTGATAAACATGAAGAGAGATCTTACAGCGTATGGACACCTTACTACGATGACATCTTGCTGTCCATACAGTGTGAGATACTATGGCATACTGATAAACATGGCGAGATATATCACAGCGTATGGACACCTTACTACGATGACATATTGTTGTCCATACAGTGTGAGATATCACGGCATATTGATAAACATGGCGAGAGATCTTACAGCGTGTGGCACCTTACTACGATGAAATCTTGCTGTCCATACAGTGTGAGATACCATGGCATACTGCTAAACATGGCAGAGAGATCTTACAGCGTGTGGACACATTACTACGATGACATCTTGCTGTCCATACAGTGTGAGATACCATGGCATACTGATAAACATGGCGAGATATATCACATCGTATGGACACCTTACTACGATGGCATCTTGCTGTCCGTACAGTGTGAGATATCACGGCATGCTGATAAACATGGTGAGAGATCTTATACAGCGTATGGACACCTTACTACGATGACATCTTGCTGTCCATACAGTGTGAGATATCACGGCATACTGATAAACATGCCGAGATATATCACAGCGTATGGACACCTTACTACGATCACATCTTGCTGTCCATACAATGTAAGATATGACGGCATGCTGATAAACATGGTGAGAGATCTAATACAGCGTATGGAGTCTATGGACAGCAAAATGTGATCAAATTGTAATCTAGAAAGGATCAATAATACCAAATTCTACGTCAGCTTGCACTCCATTTAGAGATTTCTGTTATCATCTGAATAACGATTAAACAAATTGAATCACTCGTTTTTATGCTCAGAGAATGTGCTGTTTTTTTATTTTAATTTGAGTAGGCTTACAGTAATCATCACACAAGTATAATCTAGATATACCCCCCAAAATATCCATTGTTCGTCAACAATATTGTGTATATACAAAGCAAAATGAACTTGTTATTGTAAAAAATTATATAGGCTACATTTACAGCGCATTCATACTTTCTATACTTATTTTCTAAGTTGGGAAAAAGAGAACAAAGAGGAGAATTGTGGGGGAGGGGTCGGACCATGTACCAAACTGTCAGGAGGAAGTTGTAGGTACATTATCATGACACAAAAAGTGAAGAAGAAAAACATAAGGTCGAGATGCGGTTATCAGACCCCCCCCCCCTCCCTCCTCAACATTTTTTTTTTAGAAATGAAAAAAACAGAACGGGAGAAGAAAAAAATTGTCCAAGTAAGGTCGTTCAAGTGTACAAGAAATTTCGTCGATATCATCTTCTTACAAACATATCAACTAGAAAGTCATTTCTTTAAACGATAAGGAAACATTAAAATGATGATTGATCCAGATCCATTCCTGGGTTTGCCGAGCATGTCCATACTATTACTAGCATGACCAGAGGTAGGTTTAATATCCTCATCATTTCTTACAATTTATCATATGATAAACATAATCCTATCTTCTACCGTTATAAAATGAAAATGAAGATATTCTTAATTCCACGTCACAAATCGTTGGTCTGTATAGATTTAATTGAATTGAATCGAATTTAACTAAACTGAATAAGATTGAATTAAAGCGGTAATTATTTTTAAAAAGACAACTGCCGAATTCACTTGAAAGATATTCAAAGTGAAATTACTAATTATAACAGGAATGCAGTAAACGTTTACATAATGTATAATAATGTTCTTACGTTACTTAAAATGTCTAGTCAGAAAAACGGAACTTCCGACGGTTAAAATAGGCCTAATTTTTGTTGATACATTGTTCTTCTCTACATCATAGCAAACTAATATGTCATATTATCAGTCTCCAGATAATTTCAATTTAAAGGCTTTCCAGACAGGGTGCAAAATTAACACGAAAGAATTTGTAATGGAATGCAGCAATATTTACACCATGGTCCTGTGTCACTGTGAGGCTTTAAAATAAATTTGATGCGATGTATTAGTCAAGTCAAAGTAACATAACTACAAAGAGTAAAATAATATCATCAAATGAAAACAAATCAGTAATACCGATAATTTGACAGGATGACCCATGAAGCTGATTTTTTTT